TCCCCGCTTATGCAAATGAAGCCCGGGAAATTCAAATCCCGGGCTTCATTTGCAAGTGCGGTATGCCTACATTACCCCGCTAGTTCGAACTAGCGGAGTAGTGTAGACATACCCACTGATAGCAGAGCAAATGGGCCAATTAAAAAAGTTATTAAAGGGATTGTGAAAGATACAATCTACTCAATAAGTGCCTGAAGTCTATACTGCTCTTGTGAGGAACAATAACATTATTTTGTTGTTAACTTACTTTTATTAGTTTCAGTGGAAGTATAAGGAAAGTAGATGAGCGCTACTTCTATTTTGCGTGACCTACTGAATTCTGTTCTTCCATTTTTATAGGTGCCTGATAATCCACCAAACTATATACTCTTCCTTAATAATTTGCCAGAAGAGACAAATGAGATGATGCTGTCTATGCTATTTAATCAGTAAGTTGTGTATATAAAAATGTTTCCCATTTCACACCCTATTATATGCGCACACAAATTTTCCTCAGCCCTGACATGTAGGGGATACTTCAAAATAGAAGATTTCAGTCACAAGTTCATTTAATCCTTGATGTTAATGTAAAGATATAGCCATGTAAATTGTGGTGAATCTTTAGTTCAGGGGTAGGCAGTAATTTTTAATGGGGGCACTCCAAGATTTTGGCAAGTGATCAAGGGCCACATTTCTACTGAGAGTGCTTGGGATCTGGGGCAAGTTGGGTGCAGAAGGGAGCTTGGGGTAGGAGACTGGGGGTGTGGAGTCTGAGAGGGAGTTTGGTTGAAGGAGGGGGTTGTGATCTGAGGCAGAGGCCAGGAGAGAGCATGGGTGCAGGAGAGGATTCTGGCCTGAGGGAGTGCAGAGTCTGGAAAGGAGTTGTGACCTGGGTGAAGGGGGTGTAGAGGGTTTGAGTGATGACTTGGGGCAGGAGAATGGGGTACAGGGTCAGAGAGGGGGTTTAGGTGCCAGAGAGGATTTTGGCTTGGGGGAAGGGTGTAGAAGAGGGTGCAGGGTCTGGGAGGGAGTTGTGACCTGGGGAGAAAGGGGTACGGAGCGTTTGGATGGTGGCCTGGGGCAGATAGTTGAGGGTGGAGGTGCTAGAGGCAGACTCTGGCTGGGAGGTGCTTACCTAGGCAGCTCCCAGTCAGCAGCCCTGCATGAACCTGAAAGCTGCAATCGCAAGCTTCTCCACTTGGCTCCGCTCTGGTCAGAGTGAAGGAGGGAGGAGGCGTCATTGACTGTTCCTGTCACTAGTAAAATATCTCATCTGCTATTGGTCAGAAACTGGCCAATGGGAGTTGAGAGATTTTTCTGAAGGGTGGGGCAGAGCACAAAGCTTCCCTCCTCACTCCCAGAATAGAGCAGCCACATTTAAAGCAGCTGCCACTGCGCTGTGCTTACTGGTCCCAGCAAGGCATCCATAGGCTGGATTCAGTGGGTTGACAGGCTGGATCCGGTCCGCTGGCAGCCTCTTGTCCACCTCTGCTTTAGTTCCTAATGGACAGGAATCCACATTAAAGACACAAGGTGGGTGATATACCTTTCATTGGACCAGCTTTCTTTAGTAAGAGAGACGTTTCAGGTCCGACCTGAAGAACTTTTCTGAGTAAGCTCAAAAGCTTGTCTCTTGTGGACTGGCCCAGGTCCTTTCCTGCAACTCTCATTGGCTGGGAATAGTGAACCACAGCCAATGGGAGTTGCGAGTGGCCATACCAGTGGATATGCAAATAAACATGCAGGCAGTGTCTGGTGGCCTGCCAGTGACTAACTCTGATGAACCATGTCCAGGTCACTTACTGCCCACCCTGATCTAATTTCTCAAACATAATGGAGCAATGACTATTTAGCCTCATGCTGCTGCAGATATGACAACTGCAGTGTGGAGAATGCCTTGCAGTGATTGTCTCTGCAACTTCATTCACTAGTCAAGTAGCTCCTCATTTCCTCATAGATGACAACTACTGTGCTACTTGTAAATGTGTTAGCAGTGCCTGAATGTTATAGTACTTATAATGTTATGATAAGGCTTAACAGCTGCTTGAAGATTTACCGTCTGACATAATCAGTGTCCTCTCATCTGATTGACTTCAATTTGTTTTAAAGGTTTCCTGGCTTCAAAGAAGTACGTTTAGTTCCTGGGAGACACGACATTGCTTTTGTGGAGTTTGAAAATGAAGGACAGGCAGGAGCTGCTCGTGATGCTCTCCAAGGGTTCAAAATTACTCCATCCCATGCAATGAAAATCACTTATGCTAAGAAATAACATGGATATTCTCTTAAAAGGACTATTTGTATAGCATGCCACCTTTGTGGACAGCTAAACATCTTTTTATTTTTGAAGAAGAGTAAGGAGACATTTGTGTAAAACTGTAAGAGTTACTCAGATAGGACAACTGTAGGATTTCCACATCTGGTGACTGGTAATTTGCTGTGCTGAAATCCTAACTTTGTAAAATAAATGTTTTTATTTTGTTCAAGCTATGATTTTACATCAGTCTGTTTTATTGGACTAACTGCTTCATAATGATCTTTGACCATCTCAGAAGAGATTGTTTTAAAAAAAAAATTACTTCAGAAGAATAGTGGAGGTAGGAATACCAATATATTCAGATTAGTGCTATATTCAGTTCGATTGAAAAACAAATCTATTTCTTTGACAAGGAAGTCAGCCTTTTGTAGCCAAAGAAAGCAATGGGGAATGGTAATTCTCTGGTCTCTCATAGCAGGTAGAGAACAGGAAGCAAAGGATAGAATACTAGGACTGGAAGGGACCTCGAGAGGCAGGACCAAATACTGTCTAGACCATCTCTGATAGACATTTATCTAACCTACTCTTAAATATCGCCAGAGATGGGGATTCCACAACCTCCTTGGGCAATTTATTCCACTGTTTGACTACCCTGACAGTTAGGAACTTTTTCCTAATGTCCAACCTAAACCTCCCTTGCTGCAGTTTAAGCCCATTGCTTCTTGTTCTATCCTCAGAGGCCAGGAAGAACAAGTTTTCTCCCTCCTCCTTATGACACCCTTTTAGATACCAGAAAACGGCTATCATTCCCCCCTCAATCTTCTCTTTTCTAAACTAAACAAACCCAATTCTTTCAGCCTTCCTTCATAGGTCATGTTCTCTAGACCTTTAATCATTCTCGTTGCTCTTCTCTGGACCCTCTCCAATTTCTCCACATCTTTCTTGAAATGCGGTGCCCGGAACTGGACACAATACTCCAACTGAGGCCTAATCAGTGCAGAGTAGAGCGGAAGAATGACTTCTCGTGTTTTGCTCACAACACGCCCGTTAATGCATCCCAGAATCATGTTTACTTTTTTTGCAACAGCATCACACTGCTGACTCATATCCAGCTTGTGGTCCACTATAAGTGTGAAACTGATTGTTCCTTCCTAAGTGGAGCACTTTACATTTGTCTTTATTAAACTTCTTCCTGTTTACCTCAGACCATTTCTCCAATTTGTCCAGATCGTTTTGAATTATGACCCTATCCTCCAGAGCAGTCGCAACCCCTCCCAGCTTGGTATCATCTGCAAACTTAATAAGCGTACTTTCTATGCCAATATCTAAATTGTAGATGAAGATATTGAACAGAGCCGGTCCCAAAACAGACCCCTGTGGAACCCCACTAGTTATATCTTTCCAGCAGGATTGTGAACCATTAGTAACTACTCTGAGTACGGTTATCCAGCCAGTGATGCACCCACCTTATAGTAGCCCCATCTAAGTTGTATTTGCCTAGTTTATTGATAAGAATACCATGCAAGACCATATCAAACACCTTACTAAAGTCTAGGTATACCACATCCACTGCTTCTCCCTTATCCACAAGACTCGTTATCCTATCAAAGAAAGCTATCAGATTGGTTTGACATGATTTATTCTTTACAAATTCATGCTGGCTGTTCCCTATCACCTTGCTACCTTCCAAGTGTTTACAGATGATTTCCTTAATTACTTGCTCCATTATCTTCCCTGGTACAGAAGTTAAACTAACTGGTCTGTAGTTTCCTGGGTTGTTCTTATTTCCCTTTTTATAAATGGGCACTATATTTGCCCTTTTCCAGTCTTCTGGAATCTCTTCTGTCTCCCATGATTTTCAAAAGATGCTAGCTAGAGGATACCACTGGTGGCTTTATTTCCTAGATCTGTGATGTGTAGAAAAGGGATTTGTGGATTATAGGGGATAAAAACTGGGCATTTGGATCTCTTGCTCACTCTCCCATTCTTCTGTCTGGTCCTCCTTGTCTGTTTCTAAAGATCCTGAAGTTTTTAAGGGAACATTATGTTGCCCTAAAAAGCTGCTGCAGGATAATCTTGATTGGGTGCAGCCTCATCTCTTGTTAGGTAGGATTTTATTTCAAATGATGGTGACTAAAATGGAAACTTGAATTCAGGTTTTAATTAATACATGACATTTACACACCATCACAGTAAGGTCCTAAATGAACTGAACATTAAAGTGATTTGTCAGAAATGTTGTGACTCTTGGGTAAGTCATAGCTTTTTTTGCCTCTGTAAATTGAAGATAATACACTTCCATACCTCAGAGGAATGTTGTCAGGGTAAATATATTAAAGACTGATGATTAGATAGTATCAAGGGGGATATAGCGATCATTTTTCTAGGGCAACTGAATACAGAAATCCAGTTAAAATACACATTTATGTTCTGGATAAAACCTGCAGTAGAACTAATAGGAATTGTACTGCAGGCGGACATCTTTGAGCGCACGGCCGAGTCCCTGGCGGAGTGCAGACGCCCACCTTGGACCTTAGAACATGTCTGGAGTAAGTGAAAGAGCTCATTCAGGGCTGGAAAGCACAGCTCGCACTCGGGCAGGAACCCATACCTGCCCCTGCTACCAGGAGCTGCACCAACTCCTGGGGGATGGGGAAATATCTTTCCCGCCCATTGTGGTGGACTCTGGTCTCGAGACCCCCTTTGTTGCCCGGCTGGAGGTCACGGTGGAGGATGACCAGAGACAGCAGGAGGAGGAGGAGGAGGCAGATGAGATGGACACCATCACCCTGACCCTGGAGCTGGTTCCTGTCAGCCAGGCTGTCTCCCAGGCCTTTTCTGATGCTGGGGTGGGATCTTCAGGTGGGTGCTCTCAGTTTGTCACACACACAGGCTGGGGGAGGTGGGTGCAGAGGGTGGGGTGTGAGCATTGCTCGGGCTGGACATTTTGCTGCATGTGAAAACCACGTGCAGCGTTAGTGTGCGCCACATGGATTGCAGGCAGCCCTTGAGCACAGGTGGGATCCTGCTGCCAGGCTCAGGGAAGGCCAGACACACTTCTGGCCCCAGGGGGAGCCCCTTCTCAGCACCTGCCACGGCTGGAAGCAGGCTGGCCTCAAAGGTGCAGGCATGACCTCAGACACACCAAGGAGTGCTGCACACAGTACATGGGCATGTCCGCACATGCGAGGCACCACCGACTCCCGCGGACAGCGCTGCAAGCTGCTGGTGTGTGTGGACCCAGCCAGGTCTGCTCCTGGCTCCTCTTGTTGCCCATGGGATCTCACTGTGGCCAGATGCTTTACTTGCCAGCTTGTTTGTGGGCTGGGGGTGGAAGTGGGCAGCATGGTCCCTTGGGCATCTCGGGGCGCCTGTGAGGCATTGTTCCTAGGACATCCCTCTCCTCTGCTCTGAGGACTGTTGCTCACTGCTCACAGAGGTGGGCACAGCACAGTTCCAACTGAGGGGCGAACCACACTACCCACACTAGCCTCCAGAGCCCAGGGTACCCGAAAGCGCACCAGGGTCCAGGAAGATCTCATGCGCCAGCATCTCAGCATCCTGTGCAATATGCAGCAGACCCTGGCATAGAGATACGGGAGTAGGCCGAGTGGCAGAATCGTGCTTGGGACCAGCTCATGCAGCAGTGTGATAGCATGTGTGCCACCACGAGGAAAATGGCACACCCGCCTGCTGTTGCTACTCCTGCCTACCACCTTCCTGCCATCCCTGCCCCCTTTCCAGACCCCCACCTCCCTGTGTTCCCCTGACCCACCCCACCCCAAGTCTGATAAGGTCCCTGTACGTGAGGTGGCACCTCCAGCTGCCCCCACGCCACTCCGAGTCCCCTCCCCAGCTGTTGTTACTGAAAGATCAGTAGATACTTTTTATTCAAAATTGAACAGGTGTCTTTATTCTGAAGGAAGGGTTGAAGGGGAGGGGTTGTGGTGGAGAAAGGATAGGGCAGCAATCCAGAGGCCCCTGGGCGGAGGCTCTGGGGAGAATTACTGGGGGTCCTTCAGAGAACCTCTCCCTCAGGGCCTCCCAGAAGTGCACCCCAGCCTGATGAGCTTGGCAGATGGCAGCTGTCCGGGTCTACTCGAAGGGTTGCCCCGTGCGGCCTGCATCTGCCCCCCCGCCCTGCGAGGAAGGCCTCCCCCTTTCCACAATGTTGTGGAGGACACAACATGCTGACATCACTTTGGGGATGTTGAGCTTCCCCCACGTTGAGGCAGGTCAGGAGGCACCTGAAACGTGACTTGAGGCAGCCGAAGGTGCACTTGACCTGAATCCTGGCCCGGTTCAGCTGGGCATTAAATTGGTCCCTGCTGGGGTCTGGGTGGTCAGTGTACTGATTCATTAACCTTGGCATCAGGGGGTAGGCTGCATCCCCCATGATGCACAGTGGCATGTGCACATCCCCAATGGCAAATTCACAGTGGGGGAAGAATGTGCCTGCCTCCGTGTCATCGGAGGGCAGGGGTGAGCCAGGCACACAGCTCCAAAAAGGTGGCCTTCCACATGCAGAAGTTTTGGAGGCACTGCTGGTCGTCCCACCGCTTCATAATCAGCTGGTCCCACTAGTCAGAACTGGTGTCCAGCCTCCAGAAACACCTCTCCACAGTGGGTTGCAGTTGCAAGAGTGGCGCTCCCACACCAGGAAAAGGGTCCCCAGAATGATCTTGGGGTCAAGCTCGATCAGGACCAGGAAGGCAGCTGGCACAAAGAAACAAAAGCAGTTTCTTCTCTCTTGGTGTTCACACCTCCACATCAGCTGCTAGAAGTGGGCCTCATCCTCCCTGACTGAATTGACCTCATTATCTCTAGAGTCTAGCCTTACTCTTGATTGGTACTCTTTTCTTAGGCTTGTATATTTATACTGGCCTCTGGAATTTCCACTATGTGCATCTGATGAAGTGGGTCTTTGCCCACTAAAGCTTATGCTCCAATAAATCTGTTAGTCTATAAGGTGCCACAGGACTCCTCGTCACTTTTGCAGATTCAGACTAACATGGCTACCCCTCTGATACTTTACACACAGTTTGCTCTCTCTGTCAATCAAAGAGATATGTACAGCAGTGACTTCCCTCCAGCTAACAATTATTTACACTGAGTTCAAGTGTTTTTATTAACTATAAAAAATAGGTTTTAAGTGAAAGTAAGTGAAAATGAACAGATCAAAGCAAGTTACTAATCTAAAATAAACAACACTTACCAGCTAAGTCTAACACAC